TGTGTATCCACATCCCTGAAGACTTTGTTTATTTTGAGGCCACAATCTTCGGGGCTAGCCATGTTAGTCTGTATCCACAAAAACAACAGGGAGTCCGGTGGCACCTTGAAGACTAACAGATTAGTTAGTCTTTAAGGTGCCACCGGACTCCCTGTTGTTTTTGTGGATACAGACTAACATGGCTACCCCTGATACTTGACATCAGAACTAGACACAGTATTCAAGGTTTGGGTGCACAATGGATTTATGTAGTGTCATTATGATCAGAGCCCTGTGCAGATACAAAATTTATAGCCGCAGATGTGGATATCTGCAAATATAAATTGGATATCCGCGGAGCTGCAGGGCTCTACCAGGAACCACAGTGGCGAAAGCAGCAATACGTCAGGCCACCACTCACAGGAGCCAGAGCCCTGCTAGGGCACTTCCTCCAGCGGCTGTACTGCCCCCAGCCCCACCCAATGGGGTGGGCACCAGGCTCACCAGCAGATGTCCCTGGTCGTGGTAGTGTGTACAAGCACTTTGCACACCCCTGGTCAGGAGACGCACCTGGAATACTCTCTGTGCAGCCCTGGGCGAATATACAGTATAACTTTAATATAATCTTATCATTAGTAGTGTTTGTTGGCAATTACTTGGTCTGGCTGTGATGGGAACTGACCTGCTATGTAAATTGTTGACTCTTTTTCTTGCTTGAGGCGGGGATTCCTTATGTAACAATTCAAACCAGGATATGTCCTTTCTTTTATAACAACAGAAATCTGAGCTTCAAACAGGCCATTTTCCTGTTGGGATTTCGTTTGGGACAGTGATGGTACAAGCTGCCCACTAGAATCTCTCCACAGCATTTCAGGCTCTGGGTACCACCCACCCGACGTACACAGCACCCGGATCCCACCGGCCTCGTAGTCAGCAACAGAGATGTGGGGCCCAGAGCCCAAACCTGGAAGAGAATAGAAGAAACATCTATTAATTCTCCATCTTCATTTCTGTAAATATTCAGCATAGAGAGTGAGAGTTTGCTCCTGAAGTAGAATAATAATAATAAGTATTATGGTAGTACCTAGGAACTATCCAGGATCAGAGCCTTACCATACTAGGCATTGTAGAAACATAAAGCAGTAGACAGTCCCTGGTCTGAAGAGCTTACAGTTTAAATGGGTTAAGGGGAAGGGATATAACATGAGCAGAGTGATGGGCTCCAAATGGGGGGATAATACCATGACTTTTAGATGGAGGAATGGGTTTTCTTTTAATTTTTGGTTGGTCCCTTCCCCTTAACCCTGGATAGTTCCTAGGTGCTACCATAATACTTATTATTATTCTTCTGTAAGTGAGGACTGGTCTGTCTCCCAAGATCTGTGAGAGTGAGGGATCATCTTTCAGGATAGGTTGTAGATCTTTGATGATGCGCTGGAGAGGTTTTAGTTGGGGGCTGAAGGTGACGGCTAGTGGCATTCTGTTATTTTCTTTGTTGGGCCTGTCCTGTAGGAGGTGACTTCTGGGTACTCTTCTGGCTCTGTCAATCTGTTTTTTCAGTTCAGCAGGTGGGTATTGTAGTTTTCAGAATGCTTGATAGAGATCTTGTAGGTGTTTATCTCTGTCTGAGGGATTGGAGCAAATGCAGTTGTATCTTAGAGCTTGGCTTTAGACAATGGATCGTGTGGTGTGTCCATCATCAAAGATCTACAACCTATCCTGAAAGATGATCTCTCATTCTCACAGATCTTGGGAGACAGACCAGTCCTCACTTACAGACAGCCTCCCAACCTGAAGCAAATACTCACCAGCAACCGCACACCATACAACATAAACACTAACCCAGGAACCTATCCTTGCAACAAAGCCCGATGCCAGCTCTGTCCAAATATCTATTCAAGTGACACCATCATAGGACCTAACCAAATCAGCCACACCATCAGGGGCTCGTTCACCTGCACATCTACCAACGTGATATATGCCATCATGTGCCAGCAATGCCCCTCTGCCATGTACATTGGCAAAACCGGACAGTCTCCACGCAAAAGAATAAATGGACACAAATCTTACATCAGGAATCATAACATTCAAAAACCAAGGTTTCAGAGTCAATATATGTTCCATTCTATATGCATCCGAAGAAGTGGGCTGTAGTCCACGAAAGCTTATGCTCAAATAAATTTGTTAGTCTCTAAGGTGCCACAAGTCCTCTTGTTCTTCTTTATTCAAAAACCAGTAGGAGAACACTTCAACCTCTCTAACCACTCAGTGACAGACTTGAAGGTGACAATTTTGCAACAAAAAAACTTCAAAAACAGACTCCAAAGAGAGACTGCTGAACTCAAGTTAATATGCAAATTAGATACAATTAACTTAGGTATAAACAGAGACTGGGAATGGTTGAGTCATTACACTAATTGAATCTTTTTCCCCATGTTAAGTTCTCCTCACACCTTCTATGGGTCATCTCGATTATCACTTCAAAGGTTTTTTTTCTTCTGCTGCTGATAGCTCATCTCAATTGATTGGCCTCTTACAATTGGTATGCGTACTTCCACCTTTTCATGTTCTCTGTATGGATAAATATCTTCTGTCTGTGTGTTCCATTCTATGCATCCGAAGAAGTGAGCTGTAGCCCACGAAAGCTTATGCTCAAATAAATTTGTTAGTCTCTAAGGTGCCACAAGTACTCCTGTTCTTTTTATCAAATATTTGTTCCCCCTACAGATACTTTTAGACTGTAATAAAGTCAGTCATTAACCGTATCTTTGTGAAGCTAAATAGACTGAGCTCTTTGAATCTAGGCATGTTTTCCAATCATTCTCATAATTGTTCCCTGAATCCTCTCCAATTTATCAACATCCTTCTTTCATTGTGGGCATCAGAACTGGGCACACTATTCCAGCAGCAGTTGCACCAGTGCCAGATAGTCTCTCTCCTCCTACTTGAGATCGCCCTGTTTATGCATCCCAGGGTCACATTAGGTCTTTTGGGAACAACTTTCATTTAGCTGATTATCCACCATGACCCCCAAATCTTGTTTTAGAGTCACTGCTTCTCAGGATAAAGTTCCCCTCCTGTAAGCATGGCCTGCATTCTTTGGTCCTAGACATATTCATTTAGCCTATTGTTCACTTGTGTCCAGTTTACCAAGCAATCCAGATCACTCTGAATCAGTGACCTGTTCTCTTCATTATTGACCACTCCCCCATTTTTTGTGTCATTTACAAAATTTATCAGTGGTGATTTTGTTTTCTTCCAGGTCGCTGATAAAAATGTTAGATGGCACAGGGCCAAAAACCAATCCCTGCAGGGCTCCACTGGAAATACACATTTGATGATGATTCCCCATTTATAATGATATTTTGAGATTTATCAGTTAGCCAGTTTTTAATTTATTTAATATGTGCCATGTTAATTTTATATATAATCATTTTTTAGTCAAAATGTTGTGTGGTATGAAGTCAAACACCTTACAGATGTCTAAGTATATTATGTCAACATTATTACCATAGAATCATAGAATATCAGGGCTGGAAGGGAACTCTGGAAGTCATCCAGTCCAACCTCCTGCTCAAAGCAGGACCAATCCCCAACTAAATCATCCCAGCCAGGGCTTTGTCAAGCAGGGCCTTAAAAACCTCTAAGGATGGAGATTCTGCCACCTCTCTAGGTAACCCATTCCAGTGCTTCACCACCCTCCTAGTGAAAAAGTTTTTCCTAATATCCAACCGAAACCTCCCCCACTGCAACTTGAGACCATTGCTCCTTGTTCTGTCACCTGGTACCACTGAGAACAGTCTAGATCCATCCTCTTTGGAATCCCCTTTCAGGTAGTTGAAAGCAGCTATCAAATCCCCGCTCATTCTTCTCTTCTGCAGACTAAATAATCCCAGTTGCCTCAGCCTTGCCTCATAAATCGTGTGCTCCAGCCGCCTAATCATATTTGTTGTCCTCCGCTGGACTCTTCGCAATTTTTCCACATCCTTCTTGTAGTGTGGGGCTCAAAACTGGACACAGTACTCCAGATGAGGCCTCACCAATGCCGAATAGAAGGGAATGATCACAGCCCTCAATCTGCTGGCAATGCTCCTACTTATACAGCCCAAAATGCTGTTAGCCTTTCTTGGCAACAAGGGCACATTGTCGACTCATATCCAGCTTCTCATCCACTGTAACCCCTAGGTCCTTTTCTGCAGAACTGCTGCGTAGCTACTCGGTCCCTAGTCTGTAGCAGTGCATGGGATTCTTCCATCCTAAGTGCAGGACTCTGCACTTGTTCTTGTTGAACCTCATCAGATTACTTTGGGTGCAATCCAAGCCATCCTCCAGATCATTAATGAAGATATTGAACAAAACCTGCCCCAGGAACGACCCTTGGGGCACTCCACTTTGATACTGATCACTACCTGTTGAATCCAATGATCTGGCCAGCTTTCTATCCACCTTATAGTCCATTCATCCAGCCCATACTTCTTCTAAACCAAACTTTTTATCGTGTCAACAAAGATATTGTTAGTTTGACAGGATCTATTTTCCATAAACCCATGTTGATTTGTACTAATTACATAATTATCTTTAAAAAGAACGAGGAGTACTTGTGGCACCTTAGAGACTAACAAATTTATGTCATCAATGTAGCACAAGTAGAGTAGGGATGTTAGGGGACGAGAGCTGAGGAAGCATTGTTCTAAGTCAGCCATAAAAATGTTGGCATATTGTGAGGCCAAGCAGGTACCCATAGCAGTGCCGCTGACTTGAAGGTATACATTGTCCCCAAATGTGAAATAGTTGCGGGTGAGGACAAAGTCACAAAGTTCAGCCACCAGGTTTGCTGTAACATTATCAGGGATACTGTGCCTGACGGCTTGTAGTCCATCTTTGTGTGGAATGTTGGTGTAGACGGCTACTACATCCATAGTGGCCAGGATGGTGTTTTCTGGAAGATCACCAATGGATTGTAGTTTCCTAAGGAAGTCAGTGGTGTCTCGAAGATAGCTAAGAGTGCTGGGAGCATAGGGCCTCAGGAGAGAGTCTACATAGCCAGACAATCCTGCTGTGAGGGTGCCAATGCCTGAGATGATGGGGCATCCAGGATTTCAAAGTTTGTGGATCTTGGGTAGCGGATAGAATACACCTGTGTGCAGATTTGTTCTTGTGCTTTTTCAGGGAGTTTCTTGAGCAAATGGTGTAGTTTCTTTTGGTAACCCTCAGTGGGATCAGAGGATAATGGCTTGTAGAATGGGGTGTTAGAGATCTGCCTGGCAGCCTCTCATTCATATTCTGACCTATTCATGATGATGACAGCGCCGCCTTTGTCAGCCTTTTTGATTATGATGTCAGAGCTGTTCCTGAGGCTGTGGATGGTATTGTGTTCTGCACGGCTGAGGTTATGGGGCAAGTGATGCTGCTTTTTCACAATTTCAGCCCATGCATGTCAGCGGAAGCACTCTATGTAGAAGTCCAGTCTGTTGTTTCGACCTTCAGGAGGAGTCCACCCAGAATCTTTCTTTCTGTAGTGTTGGTAGGAAGGTTTCTGTGGGTTAGTGTGCTTTTCAGAGGTGTGTTGGAAATATTCCTTGAGTCAGAGATGTCGAAAGTAGGATTCTAGGACACCACAGAACTGTATCATGTTCGTGGGGGTGGAGGGGCAGAAGGATAGGACAGATTCTTCTGCTGGGCTAAGAGTATAGTTGGATAGATTAATAATATTGTTGGTTGGGTTAAGGGAACCACTGTTGTGGCCCCTTGTGGCATGTAGTAGTTTAGTGTCCTTTTTCCTTTGTAGAGAAGCAAAGTGTGTGTTGTAAATGACTTGTCTAGTTTTTGTAAAGTCCAGCCACTAGGAAGTTTGTGTGGAAGGTTGTTTTTTTTATGAGAGTATCCAGTTTTGAGAGCTCATTGTACATAGAGTGCTTTCCCTGTTTGCTGTATAGGATGTTGTTCAGGTGGTTCTAATAGCCC